GTATCTGAATCTTGAATCACTTGAAGAGCAGATAAAAACACAGAAGCAGTTTAAACTGACCATTAACAAATTTGCAGCTGCAGCATAGCGACAGCTGACCTGCATTTTATATATAAAATATATATATATATGTATATATATATATATTTAAATTGATGAAAAATGACAATGGCTTGATGTAAACTTAGCCTGGCTTGTAGTGATCTGGAGATGAAGAGGAAATGGGAGGAAATAGGCTGTTACATCCAATCAGAGGAAGCAGGCGATATGGAACTTTACTACTGACGAATCAGATAGATTAGATAAGTATCCGGGCGTCTGTTTGAGCAGATAGAGTCTGAGGACTGGAAACTTCTGGACCCACCTGTGTGTTTGTGTGTACGTCTCTCGGGCACTTTGGGCAGTAGAGTGTTTGCTAAAGGTGTGACTCTAGCTTTCCTTATTACAGACTTGAGCAGCCACCAGGACTCCGATCATCAGTCACCAGAGACGGGTTTCGAGGTTGGGAAGACAAACAAAGACACCCACTACAAACAACCTACTTCTCGGCTGGTCTCTACTCCCCATCCACTCTGAAATCCACCGGGGAGATTGAGGCCACCGGCCAGGGTCAGTGAGGTTGAAATAACACAGCTACTTCAGTTTGACCCCACAATTAGGGCACGACCGCCATCCTTTATTTGATCTGCCAGCAGATATCACGTCTGCCTCTCTGGCTTATTCAGCCCACTGACAGATGAATGCCTGTAATTGGATCTTACGCATGTATGCATGTATGCATGTATCTATGTATCAATCTATTTCAGGGGTGCTCTGTACCACCGACAAATCCAGTGATGATGCAAAATAAATCACAACAGATTGTAAAAATAACTAAATTGCAATATTCACAAAATAGTTGAACTCACTTGGCATGATTACTGTGCAGCGGTTTCAGTCAATGACACTAATTGTGGTAGTGCTGTACAGAGGGATTTATCTTTGTACTGCCTCTGACTCCACAACCAGTCTCCTGGCACTTAGTAAGAGACTTTTGTTTTAGCAAAGACACAATTTCGCAGACAAAATGATCAAAAAAATGTAATATCGTCATTTTGGGGTGATTGCCTCTTCATTAATGCGTGAAGAGAGGATCATTTCCTTTGCACACGGTATAATGTTTTCAAATCATTGTTGTGCCACTTTTCGGTAATCGTCCTCACGTGCCATGGATGTGCAAGCTCTCACACGCTCTCGCAAATCATCTGCATATTTTCATCTCACACTCAAATGTGGGAAGCGTATATTTGAAGCCCATAAATGGATCAGCAGCCGTGTAACCACCGCTCCATGTTTCCCCACAGTGATGCGTCTCGGCACTGTCACACATGCTCTCTAATTTGGAGGAGCTCTGCTCAGGCCTGAAACACCAGAGAGCGGCAAGACACTCTCCGACTCACTGTTTTATAATTAAAGGAGAAATGTTTGCCTCGGTAGCCTCCTCACACCAGTATAGAAACCCTTGTTAGATTAGAAGGTCTTTGTTGGTGGCTAGTGGCCACACAGCTTTTAAATGAGTTCTGCTGAGCTCGGTGATGTCGTTTATGGCATCAAAGTACTCTAATTACTATTTTTAGAATATCTCTGGAATGCATACCCCAGTCTACCCCCTGGAAGTCCAGTGTGATGTGGCCCTCTGTGTCATTTGCCACACAGGAACTGCTTTCAGGAATGCCAGAACTAACCTTTTAGACAAAAATCAAATGGGGACTTGATTGAAAGAAATTAAATAGTTTTTGATCTGTGTCCCAAATATAGGGAAAAGAATGGCTTAGACCCTGAGTGTGAGGTGAATGTGTGTATGTGGGACAAAAGGACAGACAGACACACAGAAATATGGAGGGAGAAACCATATTGAAGCACCAAATGTTGGGACTGCTTCCAGAATCCCTCCATGATATTTATGGAACCAGATTTAATGTGCATAAAAATAGCAGTTCAAATTTTCTCTTCTTTTTTCCCCCATGTAACCAACTCCCTTCTTACTGAACGATTGTGACTTGTATCGCTGTTGGCACTAAATTATTTACAACACACTGTTTTAATTAAGTCTCAAGTTACAGAAGCAATGTTTTGAATCAAATATCATTCAGGTCACTCGGGATGAGTGAATATACACTGTGGCACTGTGTTTTTTTTTTTACTTTATCTTAAACTTCACTGAAAATTGGCTATATTCTCTCATTTTAAAGTCCATACATGCAGTGATGAATTTTTTAAAACTCCTGGCTCTGTCACATCTGTGCTCAGCTCCACAGAGCGTGAGGGATGGATGATTCAGTGTTGGTGGGATTTTTTTCACACTCATAATTTAGATAGAATGCATTTATATTATGCATGAGTGTGTTTGTAAATTAGTTGTACGTGTATGTAAAGTTGTGTGCATTTGTATTCATGTGCCCAAATCAGATGAGGAAAAACAACTGTTTGTTTCTCATCCCCCTGTCATCTTCATCCTGTATGTCTTCATGTCTCCCTGTGAGTTTTAGGCAGGAAATGGAGCTGGGAGATTCCTTCTCATGGCGGGGGTCTAAGGCGGATACAAGTGGCAAGATTTAACGGCAGGGGTCATGGGTCAAAGGTGCCTCCAGGTTCCAAATTTGCAACTTTGCCCAGATCCTGTCCGGGCTGCCGTCAAAGTGGGCAGCCAGCCGCTCACTAATGTGTATTAGCAAGACAAAGGAAGAGGAGAGGGGCGGGCATAAGATGGGCTTTGATTTCTCCAAGATTTATGGGCGTGATGAAATCAGCTTTGAATTAACTGGGCTTGCCCATTTTCTTTATCGTTTAGCTACATCTGAAGGCTTTGGGGTTTGTTCTAGGAGACAGACACCCTGGATAAAAAGGCAACAAATCTAAAGAGAAAGAAGAGAGGAGGGCCGAAGCTTCCTCTGAAGTCCTCACATGTCCTATTCAAGGACCCATCAGCTGGCTGCAGCCCCATTGTATATGGTGCCTCCACGACCATTACTGCCCCAACAGATAAATTCCCAACCGTAGACTTATGGAAATGATCCTGATGCGTTCCTGGGATACCAAGAAAACACTTGACGGGCTACATGTAAATGTTCTTGGCTGTTGTTAAAAAGGTGAAATATCCTGGTCTTCATCAAGTAGTTCAACAGTGTTGATGTATGTATACAGCCACCAAAATAAGCACACAGTGGATGGTGATGAGGGTGGCTTCCCCTCAATCCCCCATCCTGTATGTCCTGCAGTAAATACTAAGTGCCCCCCAGTGACCCTCCCAGTGATAAATAACCCTTAAGGTTAGCAACGTTTGAAATGGAGCTGTGAGGCCACTATAGGCCTCCGGAGTTTTCCTGACATCTTCAATATGTTATCTGTATGCCCAGGGACTTTAACCAGAGCAACATTAACTGGCCTCTCTTTTGTGTCAGGACTGATGAAGATAGGAAAAGCTCTTTTGACCAACAATCCTGAGAATGTGATTTTCATCATCTATCTGCATGTTCAGCTGACTACTGTATGATATTCACACCGCTTAAGATGTAACACGATTATGTGTGTGTGGTTAAATCTGTTTTCCTGAATATTGCACTGCAGCCGTGCACATGAGCATACAAGTGTGTGCACAGATGGCGCTGGGTAGTATGGTACCTTGGAGCCTGGTAGGAGGCTAAAAAAAGGGTTGGTGTGTATCCTTCACGTCTGGACTCTGGAGATGCTCTGATTCATGTCATGATTCATGTTCGAAGTGAGATATAACTAACATGAAACTTTAAGAGTCTCAGTGTTTCAGCAAGACACACTTAAAGATAACTTTCTGATCGGCATGTGTTTAATGATAGTAAGACAATATAAAAGAAGGAAAATGTGTGTTTTTACAGTTGAATTAAATTAATCGCTTTGGGTGTGAAATATATCTTCTTTAATTTGGGAGACACGGTTAAATGTTTCATAGCATATGACTCTAACAACCACTCACATAGTTTTGATTGTTTTTTAAAAATTCTAAAAACTTCAAAAAAGATCTTTGGGAAAAATAAAAAACGGGAGAATTGTGTTGCAGTCTCCACCTAGTGGAATTATAAGCAACCTGACCATTCACTCACTGACTGCTGAGCTGCTTTATGTATTAATACTTTACTAAAAGGTCTGAATACTTCTTCCACCACTTAGTGAAAATAAACAGCATAGCTATACTCATCTCATGGTAATTCTTGCACTATTCAGTCACTGTGCAGCTGATGAGTAAAGAACAGATGTGCTGCAGTGTATCAGCTGTGTAAGTATGTCCTGCATAATAAATATTGTTTCGGGAAGTGAAACATTTAATATATGTAAAATAGAGGGGAGAATCTGTCAGGGAAACTTGTCAGGCACAACGACAGATTGGTGTCTTTTCTGAGAAGCTTGACATAAATGTGCAGCCAATGATCTAAATATGTCTGATTTGAAAATAAAACGTTATTTACTTTTCCTCACAGAGATGCTTCTGAAGTTTTTTTTATGAACCATTTAACATTAACACTTTGATGTGATGTTGTTTGCTACTCGCAGATGATTAGCAAGTTCTCAAGCTGTAGCCAGATGGTGCTATTTGTAATTTCAGTGTGAGTGTTTGTTTACCGTCTGGATGAATGTATTTAAACTCAACTTGTTTATTTTATCTTATCTAAATATGATTATATACTATGTGCAGGCATTTCATCAGCATCCATGGTTCCCTGGTGGTGTTTTGTGTGTCGCAGCTCCACCATGTGGTACAATTAAGCCACTACAAGTAGCTGCGTGGAACAAGGTCAGTCACGAACACGTTTGCTCATTTGCTCATCCCAGCATACCACACAGTTAATATATCAGCTAGTATAAGTTCAGAGTAAAACCACTGAACAGGAAATATCTGGTAGAAAGGGTCACTGTGTGGTGTGAACACTAAATGTGTGTAGTTGCAACTGAGTTTATTTAACGGCTGGACCTTTCAACAGTGAGAATGATTCATTTCAAAGGGTTTATTTAGAAGAATACTGACAAAAATGCACACTGGGGTTTGTACAAAGCAAATTAATCACAGGACATGACACACTTGCAACACAAAGTAGGCTATACATTTCAAGAATAGTAGATCAAAAGCACCATTTTTCAAACCTAGATTACAAAATGCAAAAAACAAAATGACACAAGTACAATGATAATTCAGGAAAACTTCATGAGTTTATTAAGACTTCTTATTGCTATTTTTTTAAATGTCTGTAGAGTTACTCATTTCCTTCATGAACAACACAGATATTCTAAGTAAGGCACGTGATTCAAAGCATTGGACACTCAAAATTTTTAAAAAAAAGCTTGATACTCAGGCAGATTAAGGGACATCTCTTTGGCACAGCTGCATGATTTGTGAGAGACAAAAAAAACTCTTATCACGTAAATGAGCAAGACAATGTTAACTTGACAACACTATGTACAAAAATGTATGTAAAAATGTTATAAATATGTCTAAAAACCACAGACACTATGTACATCTTTGTACTGAAGCAAGGCAGAGATTACTCGTCTTTGTTGTGTCACACATGATGGATTTGTGGAAGTCGGATGCCAGCATGCAACAAAAAAAATCAATCTGTCGCCAACACATTTATAAACCCATTTTGGAGACAATCTGTCACTGCAGGAAACGTGTAGTAACACTGTTGAAATCGACAAAGCAAACAGGTGTGATAGTTTTCAGCATGTGATGGGGATGTAGTGGATATACTGAAATACAGCAAAATGAATCCCCAGCAGTGATAAATGTCTGTTTAAATGTTTACAATTATTGGTGACACATGTACTTTTGTTGTATCGTTGGGATGTCAGTCTATGGTCTGTGGGCAGTAGGCACAGTGCGATGTTGTTGTAAGGGGTCACCTTACTACCCCTCCTCTTTTTCTCCTCTGCTCTCTCTCTCTCTCATTCTTTCTTCCTCAGGATGATATAAATGAGGCCACTGATGAGACACAGAGGGAAAGCCACCCAGGCCAGCACATAGGCGTAGCCGAACTGTGTGCCGGATGCATCATCCGGACGCATCACGGTGTAGATGATCACCCCGCACATCACAAACACACCTAGGAGAGACGAGAAGAGAGGTGAGGGGGATCTGAAAGCAAATATAGATGACCTCACTGCTCCACCCGCATCTGTTCAGGGCGTCACCCGTCGGCGTGTGATGAAGTCATACTCACTGGCCAAGATCTGGAAGATGGCGGTGAAGAAGAAGCGTCCGCCCTTGACCAGTTTGAACAGCTGAAACACGAATGCAATGAGGGAGAAGAAGCAGAAGAGCAGGGACAGGATCATGAGGGCCTGCACTGCCTGGATCCAGTCTAGAAGACAGATGGAGAGCATGCATTTAAACACATTCACAACTTTTCTATATCAAAGGCAATAAAGGCATAACTCAGTCAGTTTTTTGTTTTTTTTCAGGAATGCTGACAAACCTTCATTGCCGGCCGGCTTGCAGTGGTAGCCTCCATTAATTGTCATGCAATTGTACCATAGATCTGTGCTACTATCCCCACCTACAGACCAGGCCTGGTAAACACAACAACACAGTAACATTAAAATACACCGCAGCATCCACAGAACAGCCCGGGGCTGTAATATCCAACACCAATAACAGCTATTAAGCATTTCAATAAAGCAGCTATAGTCTATCTTATTCACACCATGTTCTATTCTGCTGTTGTTCACACCCAGAATTTAAAAGTGATTTGAATAAAGTGCAACAGGACAACTTACACTGGCTGCTGTCGACACAATGAGAAGAATGAGAATGATTATGTGCAAAACAAGCACTCCGAGCAGGAAGAGCAGCATCTTTACAGGTAGATCTAGAGTGATACATGAGACAAGAATAAGTCAATCCACAAGACTTTACCATCTCTCCAACAAAAAGAACACGTTAGCCGTACTATGAGCTCATCTCGACGCTAGAGGGCGCTATTTTCTCACTTCTGCACCAGCCGCAGTGTTTACCTCAATGTGAAAGTATCCCCTTACACTCAAACGTAGAAAGGAGGTTGGGAAAATAATTTCTTCCCGATGGGCCTAACATGGTCAATGTTGAGTTTTAAGTCAGACTGCAGTAATTAAACTAAATCGATTCTCCAGCTGATTTCACGATTTTGAACTTTTGATCCATTTTATACAAGTCCGAATGGTTTAATTACAACTCATTGATTCAAGCAGCGCGTGTTTGCATAATGAGTGAAAGAGCTCAAGAGACGTCTCGGCGTGCGTAAGAAAGGCTGCTTCAGCACTAATCAATGCATGCTGCTGGAAAACAAACGCGATCCATCTGCATGAGAAACATTCCAGCGTAGCGCCGCGCCATGCGCGCGAGCCTCGAGCTTTAAACTCTCTAAGTATGAATATCTACATCTACAATGGTGATACGCACGCGAGTCAGCCAGGTAAAGCTAACGCATGTGAGACAAAGTTGCTTTTTTTTTTTTTCGCGTCACAGAAAGGAAATCCAAAGTCGATTTAAACTCCAGGGGTTGTTGTCCTGTTGTATGATTCGGAGGAAAAAAAAAGTAAATGAAAAAAGTTCACTGACAAAAACAAGAGGAACTCCAACACATTACTCCAACTTACAAATAGGCAAAGCAAGAGGTTTGTATCCGTAAAGAAAAAGGGAGTGCTGAGAGTTGGGACAAGTATCAGCGAGGTTCTGCTTCTCTCGACGTCTTTCTCTGCAGCTACTATTCCAGATGTGGCGCACACGCCCCAGTCAGACTCTTTCTCCGCCTGAGAAATACCGCCCTGCAGGCCCTGCACGTCACCAGAGGCCCGTCCTAAAACTTTTTTTTTCCCCCCTTATTTTTCTTCTTCCCTTCTCCCCGTGGAAGCCTGTCATCTGGATTGTTCTTAAATCCACAGGAGTGTATGGATATTCCTATGTGCAAACCGCAAAGCCTTACAAAAAAAAAAATGTAAGTGGGACTGTCTCTGCATTTATGCCATAAAGCATCCATTATTTCATTCCTTGTAATAAAACATCATTATGACATAATCTGTCAAATTCCAACAAAGGCATGATGTGTCTGTGATTCTCAGTAATTTGATGATATATTTATAGTGATGATTCCATATAAAAAGGCCTGATCCTGCCTCCCATGTTGTGTACTGCTCTGCACGATATATGCTTATGTTTTTACTTTATAGGCCACACCTGAAATCCTAACAATCTGACCAGCTGTCAGGACATTGAAGATGGCTCTTGATTATCTTTTCCCAGATGGTTGGAGGTGGCTGGACAGCCTTATGACCCCCCCATTGACTGGCAGAACTCAAATGTGCACACTGAGCTTCAGAAGTGTTCTGTCCAGATGGTGTGTGTGTGTGTGTGTGTGTGTGAACAGACCAGCCCTCTTGAGGCCCCGCGGTATGCCCAGAATGCCTGTGTGTGTGAAGCAGTCCTCCTGTTTACTCCTGCGTCTGCGGAGAGAAGGGGAGAGTTTGTCCAGCGACGTGGGGAGTTAACACAGCGCAATGTTTCGGTCATGCTAGATGGATGGAGCGGCTTTGGGTCTCCATGCACACACGGTTCGGGGATGAGTGACAAAGATCGCCCGCCCAAAGCCCTCATTACACTGTGGTCTCAGGCCATCTCCTCACAAGTGACAAAGTTGTAAACCAAACCAGAATCCAAATGACAGCAGTGACAAAAGCACACATATGCTGTTTTGAAACCCGAGTACGAACGAGATGGTGATCAGCTGCTGCAGTCAGGGAGCACAGCTCAGGCCTCTCTCTCTCTCTCTCTCTCTCTCTCTCTCTCTCTCATGTAGTTTTTTTGGCACATCAGGTGGATTCCTGTGGTCTGTGTTAGTAAACACGCAATGGGGAGGAACTGCAAGCTGCTGCCCAGGATTGCTGTGGGATGCCGGATGAGGTAGTTCTGTGAGCCCTGGCAGAGCTGGAGGGGGCATAGAGAGAGAGAGAGAGAGAGAGAGAGAGAGAGAGAGCGAGAGAGAGAGAGAGAGAGAGAGAGAGAGCTCTTTGACAATCAGCCGACCACTCAGTTGGACGCGATGCTGTTTATGAAGATGTAATTGGTGCAGTGGTCAGGTGGAAGGCAGCGCCAGCACCAGCAGCAGAGCAGGGTGAGAAGTCAACGCTGGCTGCCCAGCTGGAGCAGGTGTGTGAGTGGAGACGATATAAATGTCACAGTGTTCTAACTCTCCTCTTAATCAGAGGAGGATTCACACACAGTCCTGCACTGCTACTCACAAAGTGGATATGTACAGAGCAGAATATTAAAAGGACGGGTCTGTTTCTTTCTTTTGAACTGTAGAAATCCATGCAAAGAATAACATCAAAGAGAGAGAGCTTACAATTTTAAAGGTTTTCTGTTGCTGTCAGTGGGAGCTCTCATGACGCGGCATTTGTGATACATTCCTCAGTAAATCAAGCTTCACTGCAGTGAACAACAAAGTGCCCCACCTTTTTTTTGCCGCAGCTTTATTTGTTTTCATAAGCTCTTCAGATTGCACTCATTACATCATTACAGAGTGATTGGATATTTAATTTAACATTCCTAAAAACAGTGAATCCCACGATTATTGTGAAGATGTGTGGGTATAGTCTCTCACACTTTGCCCTGCATGCTTATTAGTGCCAATCCCTTTGACTGAAAAACATCGTGCTGTCAGTGATCGCTCAACCAAACCTTTGAATAGTTATGATCGGTCTTACATGGCTGAAAGCACTGGAAACCATCCAAAACCATGACCCCCCCC